AGAACAGCCTCCTCCCAGATCTTGGATTATGCTGCAGGAACCAGATAGGACAAGACCAACAGGTAATGGTGAAGCAATCTTTTTAATAGATTTGCTTGACCAATTTCTTCAACCATGTTCTTCCATTTTAGAGGTGCATATCATATGGTAGCTTGAGGCTAATCGTGAAACAAAACTTCAATTACCGTATTTATCGGCGTATAACACGCAGGCAGGGGTTAAGCTTGCAATTTTAGTTTTAAAACTGCGTGTTATACGCCGATAAATACGGTAATTGAAGTTTTGTTTCACGATTAGCCTCAAGCTACCATATGATATGCACCTCTAAAATGGAAGAACATGGTTGAAGAAATTGGTCAAGCAAATCTATTAAAAAGATTGCTTCACCATTACCTGTTGGTCTTGTCCTATCTGGTTCCTGCAGCATAATCCAAGATCTGGGAGGAGGCTGTTCTGTTGAAACTAATGAGGAAAACAAAAATATCTCAACAATAAAAGAGTTTTTGTGATAAAGAATACACATGTATTTATTTGGAAAGCACTACTTACTTCTTTTTGCAGTACCTGCCAGATTATCAAGCAAATAATTCAGTAGCCTTCTTGTTCCATCTGGTTCCTGATAAAGATTCAGAATGTCCTGTGTAAGTGGGTTTCCTGCAGAAATGTTTAGACAAAAGGAAGAATGAAAGCTCAAGAACACAGATTTAAGTGTTTTATTATTATGGCTAGTATCTGGGAAATTCAGTTCAAAATAACAGAAGTCAAGTAATTACTGAAAACCTGAGATTCTCACTTCATAAAATTATCAGTAAACCAGATTGGATTCATCTGGGGGGCAGGGGAGAAGAAGAAATTCACACACTACTTTTGTTCAGGCGTGACAAAAAAACAAGACTGGTTTAGTGCCTTAAAAGGGGGAAATTTAAAAACAGAAATAGAATGCAGTACAAAGATTTTTTTAATATAATTTAAAGCTGTTTAAATCTAGTCTTGTTTATTTAATATCAGACAGAAAGTGACAGCTGCTAAAGATAAAACAAAATGAAAAATGGAGAAAAAGTACAAAATGGAAAATGCATACCTTTCAAACCCAAGGTCTGTAACTGGAACAGTTTTCCCAGCTCAAATGGTAGAACTCGTAACAGGTTGTTATTTAAATGGAGTTCCCTGATGTTAAGTCACATAAAGAAAAAAAGTAGTAAGATAACATTTAATTAAACTAAACCTTTCAGTGAAAAATAGAAACAATATTAAAGCACACATCAAAAATACACGAAGCTTGAGCCATGAGGATTAGGAATATTGGAGACTACAAAATATTATGATTAATAAAATAATATTAAACACAATGAATTAAAACAAACCCGCTAGTGTTCTAAACATAATCCTATTAGAACTATTAGGAAAGTAAAACAATGAAGCAATAATTCCTAAGCCAGCATTACTAATCAAAATGATTTAAGGAGCTAATAAGTAAGTAGTTTTTAAATGGTAGCCAAAAGACAATGAGTGGCTTAAGGTCACTCAGAGGATTTCATGACTGAATGGGACTTTGAACCCAGATCTCCTAGTGCTAATCCAATGAACACATATTATAACTCAAAAATACTTATTCAAAACTATATAAAATTCATAAATATTTCTTACTTCAAAAACAGTAAATTAGATCTTTACACAAAATCAGAATATTTTTTAAGTCCAGACTTTCATCCTTTGCTCTTCTTGAAGGAACAGCATCATTTGGATCCATTTATATACTACTAAAAGTTTCATTTCATTTATTTGTTTGTAACCTCAAGTTAGCCGAAAAGGTGCAGGAATATCACAACAATTTTTGAATCAAGGTACCAAAAATCCTTTTAAGTTAAAGAATGCTCTAAAAATCTAAGATCCACTTCTCCTGTGGAATTCAAATGTCTGCAATGTTCAGATAAACTTTATTTGTAAAACTGTGACCATTGCAGGGTTTCTGTGGTCATGGGATTGTGATTTCAGCTTCTCACACGCAAAGTCAATGGGGAAGCAGGCAGGAAGTTGGACATCACTCTCATTTCCACAGTTTTGCCCATCTGTGGCCATTCTGTTTACCTGTTCTGGTAAGAACTTTAGGACTTATTATTAAAGATTGTTTTCAATGTGATTGCTTTTGTATTTATGATATATACTCTTTTGAGATGATCATGGAATTGTCAAGGACTGGGATAAAAAAAAAATTGGTCAGCCTAAAATTTAATGTTATTCTGATCATCTTTCTCTCAAAGGATTAGCCCAATGGATCACAGGGTTATTTAGTATTGTTTGAAAAGGGGAAAGACTAGGCTCATTTTTTATCCCAAGTATTCCAAATAAATTCATTCCAAGCAACAATAAAATTGTAAGTGATTTAAAATATATACTCTCAGTATTGATGGAACATGTTTCATCCAGTGTTTTATTATAGAACTCACTGAAATCAAGTTTCTATTTACTACTGCACTGCTCATAGTGCAACCTATGACACAGCTCCAAAGATAAACCAGGAAAAAACAAAACTAGGTATTATATGGATAGGACTATATTTGTGGACATGTGCACAATAAAGATAACTAACTGGGAAAGTACAAATAATTTGAAGAGGTTTTCACAAGAAAACATTGAAGGAATGCATAACCCAAAGTGTCCAAAAGGGGTGGATAGAGAGTGGGAGAAGAGGTCAATGTGCAGAATATTTATCTCTTATTACCTCCCGCCTCTCAAATGTTACTGTTTCTAATTCTTACAAAATATACTATTTGCCTTATTAATTAAATACACATAGCAGATTTCAGTCTGCAACTAATAATGAGTCGGATCCATTAAGTTTAACACGGATTAGTAAGCACAGGGAAACTGAAATCTCAAAAAAAAACAAACCAAAACCCACTAATACTTTAGCTTTGATTCAGTGTATATTTTCTCACCTACTGAACTGGAAGCTTTCTGGCAAATCACAATGCCAAAGGACACAGAACCTGAAATGAGTTCACAATGGTCTAAACAATTGTGTTACCTGAGTGACACCATGTTTCCGAGCTCAGCTGGTAAACTGCGAATCTTATTAGATGACAGATCCAAATAAATCAGGTTATGAAGCTTGGCAATATCTGAAGGAATACGGGATAAGGAATTGTCACTGAGATGCAAAGCTGTCAAGTGAGTCAGTGACCACAAGGATGAACTCAGGCTTCTGACTTTCCCTAAAAAACAAAAACAATACAGCTGCTTTAGATCACTTCCACTTCTAATATATTGTGGCAAAGCGGCATCTAGATGTTACTAAGTTCTAGCTTCCTTTACTGCTGGCCATGCTAGTTGAGGCTGCTGAGAGCCATAGTTCATCAATGCCTGGAGCAATCAAATGGTTCTTCAAAACAACATTACAAAGGGAAGCAAATTTGAACATAAAATTTAAAGCAGGCATCTCAAACCTGGGTAATACAGCCCCAAAAGATATTAAAAAATAGTTTTAAAAAGTATACAGGTAGTCCTCAACTCACAACAGTTCATTTAGTGACTGTTCAAAGTTAGAATGGCACTTTAAAAAGTGACCATTATGACCATTTTTCACTGTTATGACCTTAGTAGCATCCCTAGGAACATGTGATCAAAATTGAGATTCTTGGCAATGGGTTTAACTGGATTACAAACTTATCAACTGCAGTGATTCACTTAACAACTATGCCAAGAAAGATCATAAAACTCACTTAATAAATGTCTCTCTTAATGACAGAAATTTTGGGCTCAAAATTATGATTGTAATTATGGTTGTAAGTTGAGGACTCCCTATAAAAAATGTTTGTTGTTTAAATACAGGTAGTCTTTGATTTTCAACCACAATTGAGCTCAACATTTCTGTTGTCAAGTGAGACTTTTGTTAGGTGAGGTTTGCTCCATTTTACAACCTTGCTTGTCACAGTTGTTAAGTGAATCACTGCAGTTGTTAAGTTAGTAACATAGTTGTTAAGTAAATCTGACTTCTCCATTGACTTTGTTGGTCAGAAGTTGACAAAAAAAGATCACATGACCCCAAGATACTGTCACTGTCATAAATATGAGTCAGTTGCCAAGCATCTAAATTTTGATCACATGAGAGTGGAGATGCTCTTTTTTTCAGTGCTATTGTCACGAAACAAACTGTTGTAAATTAAGAACTATCTGTTTTAGCTGCCCAGTTGCCCTTTGGAAGCTGCCCTGTCTCACAGTAACAGAAATGTTGGGCTTAATTGTGGTTGTAAGTTGAGGACTACCTGTAATACAAATAAATATATCACATATTCACTGGTACAGCACCCAACATGGATAGATTAAAAGAATGTTTACTCCAGTCCCCAAATGAATGTATACTGAATATTTTGCTAATAAAAAGTATGTGCCTATACTTTGACATGGTCATTTCTATATTCCTTATCAGAATTTCAGATTTACTGGATAACAACCAGTAGCTAACATCAAAAAGGTCACTGAGCTTTTCAAATTGATTTATCTGAAACATCCAAAAAAAATTGAAAACGCTTGGCTTAAGATGACATCGTAGTCAAAAGATAATGGTATAATGGTAGTTTGGTCCATCAGACTAGAGGTAAGTAAGGAAAACATTAGAAATGAGTGTAAATAGTTCAATTACAATCACTTAAACTAATGCATCCCAAAGAAACAGTACAAAAAGGGCATATAAACCCATGGGTGGAAGAAGCAGCAGCAATTACCAGCTGGAAATGTTTGGCTGGAGTTGACCCTCCTAATGAGAAACGAGGTGTGCAATACCATTACTATTTCTCCTGTTTCTGGCTGAGAAAAGGGTCAACACTAACTAGAGAGGTAATCAGCAAAACCAGATAGTTAGACCTCAACTTACAACTATTCATTTAGTGACCATTTCAAATTACTATGCCACTGAAAAAGAGTGATCTATGACCATTTTTCAAGCTTATACAGTTGCAGCATCTTCATGGTCACATGATTAAAATTTGGATGCTTGGCAACTGGCATGTATTTATGATGGTTGCAGTGTTCCAGGGTCATGTAATCACTAGTTGTTTTCCAACAATGTTATTGGGGAAGCCAGATTCACTTAAGAACTGTGTAACTAACTTAACAACTGCAGTGATTCACTTAACAACTGTGGCAAGTAAGTCCATAAAATGTGGCAAAACTCACTTAACAACTGTCTTGCTTAGCAATGGAAATTTTGGTCATAAGTCAAGAGCCACTTGTATTTGGAAAGGGTCTGCAAATAAAATTACTGAATGTAAAGCCAATCTCCCTCGAAAGGCAGGCAGTTTTATTAGAAAAGTATGAAAGCATGAACAAAGAAGAATAAATAGAATGCAAATGAGATAATAAAATATTAAGTCTTAAATCTTTAAGGAGGAAAAGTTGGAATATCTAAACTGAAAAACAAAACATTCAGTATATATAGCACATTCTTAAAAATTCTTGAAGAATTTAAATGCAAAATTACTGTGATAGTAAAACAAATAATTAAGACTACTCTCCTTACCAGAAGATAGAAGTACAGTGAATTTAAAAATTACAGATTATTTAATATTTAAATCAGAAAACTAATTGGAAATATGTTCATATTAAGTAGAAATTTTAAACATATGCAAAACCAACCAATAGCTAAAGAACATCCAACATGATTTCTGCAAAGGGAAATTTCTTTGACACACTTCTAATTTTGTGGATAAAATCTTATGGATAAAAGTAATCCAGCAAATATTAAGAGACAAAGCCAGAGATTACATGAAAACAAAGAATCCAAAGAAATAAATCCAAAGAAATAACCAGACAGAAAAACACTACAATTCATTTAAGAACCATTTTAAAAAATATTTTCTAATTTTTTAAAACATTTTAAAATAAATTGAAGCAAAATAGTGGCATAGGAAATAAATTGTGGCATTCCAGAAGTTATTCATCAGTAACCTCCACAATTCCTATGAAGGCTAGGGAGGATGGATACTAGGAACTGTGTTTAAACAGTATCTGGAATGGTACAAGCTTTGTATGAAAACACAGTAAATGGAAGGCATTTCTGCGAAGGTGGGGGAAAAAATTAGGATATAGACTTTCAGTAAGATCAGAACAAACCCACTCATCCCTCTGGGAAAAAAAAACATTCTTCACTAACTTGGTTGCTTTTGAAAAGGAATTGAATGCTTGGATGAAAAATATATAAAAGAAAATGGAAAATCTACATTCAGAAACATAAGCCTTGGAGTACTGTGTAGGCTTAATATCCTGTAGAGACAGATGGGTCATTGCTAGATAACCTATTTATCTGATTGAACAGGGCTCTCACTGATGTATATTAGGGAAGGTCAACATAAATATCAAAGATGGAGCCCTTTTTCTGCTCTCTTTGTCCTCTAGCTAAGACACTGAACAAAAGCACTTATAATTCAGAATTTTCTAGCAGCAATGTCAAAGACTGTCAGTACGAGACCATTTCCAAAGCACACACTTCTCTCTTATCCTTCTCCAATTTTCCACTTTCATTCAATACAAGTTATTTTTATTCTTGCTTTACCATATAAGTAACAGAAGACTACAATGGAGGCGTTCGTTAATATCTATTTTGTTCCCCCTGTGAAAGGGAACAAAGCAGGCCTGGATCAGACCCATAATTGTTTTTTTTTAAATAGTAATACCACATGCAAGCCCCAATAAGATTTATACATAATGTTTGGACTCATAAAGATAGTCCTTGACTTAGAAAAAATGGAACCAGAATTTCTATTAAGTGATGAGGTCATATGTGACTACATCGCTTATGTCGCAATCTCAGAAGTCCTAGTTGCTGTTGCAGCTCTGGACACATAGGTCATTAAGCAGGAAGCTCCCAGGTAAGGAGGAAGGGAGTATGCAGGCTATGCATTTCCTGGGAGGTGGTGCAGTGCAGTGCAAGCTCAGGGGGGGCCAGCAAAAAAGCATGCAGGGTTATATGGATCTATGCAAATGAGAGAGGCTTTTCTTGGAAACCCTTGAACCCCAGGGCAGTGTGAAGATGTGCCACCCTTGGAAACTTCAGCTGCTCCAGTCCAGCCCAGCATAATCCCACTACACTCTGGGAATCCCAGTGGTGCAAAGATGTCGTGCAACAGGCAGCACATAGGGACCTTTTGACCACCACAGCTCTCAGGCTGCAAGAAGCTCCTGAGCTACAGCTCAGTGCAAAGCCAAGTCCAGTAGTGAAGGGGCTTCTTGGCACCCCATGGCTCTGGGGTTATAAGAAGCCTCTGAGCTGTAATACAGCATGAAGCTGCAGCCAAGGCACAGACACCATTGCCTCCCTCCACTCTGAGGCTCCTGTCATCCTGTGCTCCACCACACTACCTGACCTATGGACCCCTTCTTCCCACTGCTGACAAGATGCATTCAGACCTTTGCAAAGCAGCTGCTGGCCACAGAAAGACTTCTTCCCCAGGTCTTGCAAGGAAACCATCATGTGTAATCTAAGGAAGAAAGTCTAGCCAGTAGCTGCCTTGCAAAGGGACAGTTCAGATAGGCTTAGTCAGCGTTAGTGGGGAGGGGGTGGAAAAGATCAGGTAGGGCATCAGGGAGTGCAGGGTACCAAAGGGTCTAGAATGGGGGGGGGAGAGCTGGATGGGAAAGCTGAAGAAAACCAGTGGTCATAAGTGTGGGAAGGCTGACAAGTGTTTGAATTTTGATTACATGACCTTGGGGACACTGCGATTGCCATAACTTTGGAGACCAATTGTAAGTCATTACGTTCAGTGCCACCATAACTAATGGTCATAAATTGAAGATTACCTGTATTTTTAAACAAAGTACAGTAGTCGGTTTTAATCCAAGTGAAGAATCTAGTTCTAAGTTTGAAATCAGTATCAGCATATTACATTCATTTTGAAGTACATTAAATTTTAATAGAATATTTACTATAACTGAAGTTATAATGAAGAGGTCGGACTTGTCAATAATTAATCCAAAATCACTTTTTTGCCATGGACCCACCCTTTTTTTTTTCTTACCGCTTATTTCCAACTCTGCCCAGTGTGATTTTTTCCCATTGGCTGCTTCTTCTGAGGACATAATTGTGTACATCCTCCGTGGATCAGGGGGTTCGTACTTTTCTTTGGGCATTCCTGAAAAAAAAACACAAGTTGAATCGAAACTTTTTATAGAAAAACAAACCTTGTGAGAAGTATTTCAGAAGCATGTGGCATGTTACAGGGTCATTCCATGTTGTTTTCATTAAGGCAATGATCACTATTAATTTTAATCAAGAAATCAATCATCAGTCATGACAATGTACCGATAACAGCTAATGTTCCATATAAATCAGTTACAAAAGTTACATTGAAAATTCTTGGTCTTTTAAAATTTTATGCTTTAAAAAGAAATAAAGTAATAAAGAAAAGTTTGACAACAGTAAGTTAAAAATCTTGTAAGACATATGCAAGAACCCCGCTGTAGATATCAGTGTGTATATAGTATTTTAAATTAGTTTGTACTACTTAATTATATTGTTTTCTTTTCAAATGTTTTCATTTTGCTTTGTCTTTAATAAGTGTCTCCAAATCACTATTTTATGTTTTTCTCAAATAGACGTCTGGGACACCACCTAAGAAAAACAGATTTTGACAGTTCTTTCTAAGTCTACACCGAAATAAAATATATGCTGTGATATGTCTTTCAAGTCACACACAAACATTTGTATTTCAAAGTACCTACTACATTTAATGGCCACTTTGAAGCTGATCTCATGAATTCTAACAGAAGAATCTGTTTCTATGAAAGAACACCACCTATGAAGCTAAAAATGTTTTTAAACATACCTTTATAAATCAATGACAAAAAGTCTTCTTACCAAGGCTATATGGCTGAGAGCATTCATTTTAGACAGAAAATGAAACACTCACATATATTACATAAGTGCTAAAAGAATTCAAGGTAGGGGCTGCTCTTAAATCCTTTAGCACTTTGTGGCACCACAGCAAGGCAAGATTTCAGAAAGCCCAGAATGAAAGACAATTTTCACTGAAATGACAAAAGATCGGATCCAGAGTAGTCAAAATCATTGGCAAAATAAATGATAGCAGTTATTTCTAGTGCTGCCTATGTAGTTCTATTTCTTTTGTTAATTAATGCATTCTGCTTCAGAGCTAACACCAATATTAAATTGCTCCATTTCATTTCCTTAATCCTGCTAGTTTTAATGTCATTCTTAACGTAGGCCTGCTGTGATCCATCAAACAGAACACAGACTCCCAGACATATCCTGTGCCTCATCAGGGGCTTGCTAAACTATTACCATTGGCTGCCTGGGATTGCAAAAAATAGGAGCTGACATTACCAGGCTTTCATATTTGACTGGGGATTGGGGCTGAGTTTGATGAATTACAGATTATGAAGAATTTCTGCCCTATAAATAATTTATGATAGGTTGTTCCTTCATTTAGGTACGAAAAAAAAAGTTCTCCAAAATTCAAATGCATATTGAAGGTTATCAAAATCCCAAATTAATGTATTGATTCATTTTCCTAATTTGTAATGCTACTTACATTTTGTGATGTAGTTGATTTGGTCTACTGCTTAAGGCACAAGGCTAAAAATCAGGGGACTGTTGAGTCCCACCGTAGGCAAGGAAGCTGCCTGGATGACTTTGGCCCAGTCATTATCTCCCAGCCCAGGACATCAGAGTCAGGCAACAAGCTGGTTGGTCAATTCCAGTTGCAACCAATGAATCAACAGTTAGTTGATCTGAAAAAAGTCATCTCCGTACTTATGGGGAAAAACTAGGCAGAGAAATAAATTTTGCGATTCTATTTCTGTATTTGTTTTTTTATCTTTCTTTGCCCTTTCTTCCAACTGTGCTGCCAACCCTTAGCCGTACTTCTGAATTCTTTACTGTTCAAACTGTGAAAATATACTTCTGAAAATGGGAATTTCCTTTCACTGCTTGCAGAATAAAGAATTTTGTCCTCTTTTGTTTCTATTTTACAACTGCCTTAACAAATAAAGCAAAAGGGTTGCAGTAAAATGGGTGAAGATTTCCTTAGGAAAAAACTAGAAAAAAACTGACATTCATATTATTGCTGTAATATATAAATCACAAACAGAAATCAGTTCCCATTTGTTTCTTTCAATTTAAATTTTGCACTACTGTGTACTCTTGTGTGTGTGAGAG